AAATCCCGTGACCTTAAATTCTTACATCTTTTAGTTAGTTTTAGTATTTAACTTTAATATTTCTTTTATTCTTCATCTATTATTCTCTTCAATTCGTAAACTAAAGTAACTGTTTACGAGTTGCTAGTTGTAAATTGCCTTTTGGAAAATAAAATTAGTTCAAAAGGTCGACTAGTAACAACGTCACAAAAATTTCCAGCAGAATTACGAAAATTTATAAAAAAATTACAGCATAAATTTTCACAAATGTTTGAATTTAAACGTGAATTTCTCTGCGAATATCAATGTTATAACAATGAAACATATATCATCTTGTAGCCAAAAACCAGGGCTTTCGATCTATCTTAGAATTATCTTAGTAGAAAATCGCTCCCTGTTACTTAAATCTCAGTTGAAGTTAAAAAATTAAATTTTTTAGGTGTAAATTTCCATAGGTCATGTGATATTTCCATAAATTTATGCCTAATTAAATTTCCTGACCTTACTTATCTGGAAAGCTCATATGAATATTTAATATATAACAAACAGAGGTTTAGCAAAATATATTATAAAATATATATTGAAACTAGAACCATTTTACCTTTTTAATATTTCCAAAGGAGGCAGCTATAGAAATATGTACAAGCCTGAAGATTAAGTTCCATGAAACTAATGTTTTTATTGCTGAACAAAAAAATATGTAATTTCTCAATTCAAGTTTTGTACCTAACAATTGAACCACCCTCACTTTGATTAAAAGCAATAATACCATTATCATTAATAAATATTGAAGATGATCATCTTTACTGGGATGATCAAATAGAAAAATATTTTTCTAGACCAAACAATGAAATTTTTAATAATATGACATATGTAACTTATTATAAAGAATATAATGTATCAAAAACTAGAAGCAATTCAACAAGAAATGATATATATATTGACAACCTTAGAAATTACATGGTGAAACAAATCTCTTCCATATTAATCAGAATCTGTTACCTAACAGTAGAACACAGGGAGACATACTTTTATCAACAGCTTCTTTTATCTTTACCCTGCTGATCAGAAGAAGAATTGAAAGAAAATTTTGATGCATACAGAGATCATTTCATAACAAAATTTCCTGAAAAACTAAACATCACATCCAAACAAAATTGTTATCAAACTACTTTATTCATTAAAAGAAGTATTAATAAATCATGTTCAAAAAATAATCGATATATAAATCAAATCAATTAACCAGTGTTTTCCACAAATCTGATGACAGAACTACCTACTTCTCAATATTTTTGCATGCAGATAATCAAAAATTATTTAGGACCAAGGGACGGGCAGCATTACTTATATTTTTTTATTACTAGTTCTGCGGGAATGGAAAAAATGTTTATAATAAACTTAGTAATTACAGAACTAAAAAAAAGAAAACAAAATTATTTATTAATGACACCAACAGGTGTAGCAGTGATAAATATAAATGGTCAAATGATACACTTGGCATTAAGAATATATTCGGTCAGATTATCTTATCAAACATTGACATATAGAGATCAAAATTTTAATCAAGAATTTAAAAATATCGACACAATAATAATAGAAGAAGTTTCCATGGTATTCTTGAAATTATTCACTTTTATTTTGGAAATTTTTTCCAATCTAAATTGTAATCTGGTCCTTTTTGATAATAAAAATGTGCTAATATTTGATGACTTAGCGCAATTACCTCCAATAAATAGGTAACTAGTATACAGATCACAGATGTGAAATGTATTTTATCCTCTATTCCTAAAAGAACTTCAGAGACAAGATCTGAGATCCGAATATTACAAACTATTAGAAATGGTGAGATTTGAAGAAATGGATGATTATACTTGAAAAATGCTTCAAAACAAACTGAACCAAACAATCAACGAAACATTGAAGAATGTAGAAAACACAATGCATATAATAGGCTACAAAAAAATAGCTGATCAAATAAACCGAGTTATATGTAATATGTTATCTAATCAAAATAACAAGTATGTAATATTTGAAGTAAAAGATTATATAAACGGACAAATAAAGGATAAAGAATACATAACTAAATTATTTAAACAAAAAAAAAATTTACCTGAAAGAATAGAAATACGAATTGATACCAAAATCATGTTTTTAAATAATTCAGAATATAAGCATAAGATATGTAATGGAACCACAGGCATAATTACCAATATAAATGAAGAAAATCAAGAAATAAGGTGCACCTTTTGTATTAGAGGTGAAGTGGTAAATATCATAACTAAAAAAACATATTTTATCATTTTATATAAATGGTGAACACGCATGCAGAAAACAATTTCCCATCATTGTCACGTACGCCCTCACCATTCACAAAACTCAAGGATTAACATTAACAGATATATCGCTAAACTTGGATTCCCAGATGTGAAAAAAAGGACAGGCATACGTAGCATTAAGCAGGTGCAACAATTGGAAAAACATAAAAATATGATCAATATCTAAAGATGCATTCATTGTAGATCAAATCATGATTAAAGAATATGAAAAATTAAAAAAAAAAGCATTGGAACCACTGCCATTCACTATTCCAAAACAATCATAACACAAGCTACTAAAATAAAATTTTTTTTTTAGTAATAATAAATAATAAATCTATTAATATTTATTTAATATTGTTTTCTTTTAAAAGTCTTTACCAATAATAAAATTTTTTTTTAACAATCGAAAATAATATTTATTTTTTTAAAAAAAGTACTTTACCAATAAAAATACGGTGACGAAGTCACCCATGCACCTGATCTAGTTATTTATATAAAATTACATTAAAAATAAATAATTGTCCTGCACGCGACATTTTATTTTGAAGATCACGAGATCACGAGATTATAATTGGCTCAAATCTGGGTCTTTTTTGACCAAGTTGTCATGTACAGATCCTTTGGCGGTGGCAAACCGAGTTCACTTCCTCCAGGCGTTTCACGTACTGTCCTTTTGGCGGTGGACGCTTGGCATGGACATTTGACTTTTCCAAGTAAAAATATCAGATATGTTAAACAGTTTTTTATTTGATTTTAATTAATTTTATTATTAATTTTAATATATATTATTGATACACGCAACATATTTTATTTTGAAGATTATGAAATCACGATTTCCATTTGGCGGAGCTGATTTTCTGAATTGTCATCAAAGACTTCCATCGACAGTTTGTGAACAGACCATTTGGCTGTGACAAACTGGGAATGTGAACTTTACTCAAATTACTCATGAACAGACCCTTTGGCGGTGAGTGATTTGTCATCAAGGGGATCCTTTTGGATTGCCTTATGAAAAGGTCAGTTTGCCATGAACAGACCCTTTGGCGGTGGCAAACTGAGTTCACTTCCTCCAGGCGTTTCACATACTGTCCATTTGGCGGTGGACGCTTGGCATGGATGTTTAGCTTTTCAAGTAAAAATATCAGATATGTTGAACAGTTTTTTTATTTGATTTTAAAATGCTTAAATTAATTTTATTATTAATTCTGATATATATTATTATTTTTCGTTTAACAGGAGTAAAAAAAATATTTAAAGTGTAGAGCCAATGAATTGGTGAAATGTATGACATGCTTTCAAGGGAGAGAGATATGTGAGTTCTCTGTGTCATATTATCTTAAACTATTGCTAATATTACTTCTTTCTTTACTATCTGTTAACAAATGATTTATTTATATTAGTTATGTTAATTTATGTCTGGATTTATTATTGAGTTTATAATTTCCTGACATTTCTGGCTTTTTCATCTCAAATAATTCATGGAGAGAATATATTTAAATAAACCCAGAAATTATTTCGAGTTTATTGACTTAAGCCAAAATTTCTAGAAATTACTTACAAAAAATCTAATTCATATTAATTTCTATTGTTTTATTGTCATTCATTATATTTATTAATACTTGGAATTTTATATTACATATGCCGTATACTGTACATGACAAAAATTTTTTGTTATACATAAATTGAACTATGTTTTTTTTTAATAATACTGTAGCTAGACTACGAAATTGATCCGCAGATAATTAAAAAATTAACACGAATTATATGATTTTGGCCCGTGGGTTGATCCATTAGGAGCTCTTCTTCACTCTCACCTTCGCCTTCTCCACATCAGTAAAGCTAAGAGTTGACCAGTTAACATTCTGGTGTTCAATGTCTATAAGACATACCTTATCACTATTAAAAGCAGCAATATTTTCCTCTCCGAGTACACTAGTACTACGTAATATCTGTTGTGTTTCATAAGTTGTTCCTAGAGCTAACAAACTCTTTGGTCCAATATCAATCAACTTCGATTTCATGCTAATAGTATAATAACATCCAATCAATCCAATTAATCCAGACAATGCCAAGAGCAAATAAATTACAGGCCATCGATTAACAACACAGGAGTAAGTCCCCTCGATTTGCAGTCCTATATTCATACCATCTGATACTTTATTAACCTCGCTTAGTGCAACTATAAATCTATTTTTCAAACTGTCGATTGCTCGTGAAACATCATCAGGACTTTGGAAAAATCTTGAATAATTGTAACCAAGCCAGGTATGAGATGGTAAAGGATACCCTTTTCCGTCAAACCCAATATTTGCATAATCTAACGGAAATGAGAGCAGTGCTTCTATTTTACTACCGAAAACCAGAGCCATTGTTATATTACCGTTCTCATTTCCAACAAAATCACAATTTGTACAATCTGATGGAGTATATGGATTAATGCTACCATCTGAGAGATAGTTACCTTCAGTAAACACGAGCCGCGAGTCTAAATTCATGATTATACTTGATTTTTCCCACTTATTGTTAAACGATGCGCGAGCAGTTATGTCATATATCTTTGAAGTGGCATTACATACAGTATAATATCCGTCTACACTTTCCTCAGGTTTAGTACTGTTCTTATTTAGATAAAGCACTGCCGTCCAGGTTATTCCACCAGTATAATTCGATGACACATCTATCGCAATAACAAAAGTTTGACTGCCTGTTTCGTGGAAATATCTGTCCTTAAGCATAGATTCGGAAACATAGATTGTGCTTGGTAATTCAGACTGTTGCCAGCATTCTATCTTATCGCCAATAACACCACGTCTATTGATAATAGTAGTTCCTGTTCCATAAAAAGAAGGTGGCGGCAAATATATAGTGAACCCATCTGATGCATTATAAGGGTCAGTGGTGATATTATTACTCGAAGCTAGACTATCAAAACGACTACTAAGTATATACGGCGAAACGCTAATGCAATTAGCACCACATACCATTCCTTGAAGATTTTGTTCTGGTACGGTATTAGTTACAACAGTATGAAATCCTGATGAAACGTTACCCACAGTGTAGGTTTGGCGAGAACCAGCATTAAGTGTAGTTGCAACCAACCCCGCAAGAACGATCCACAACCTCAATGATCCAGACTTGTATGCCTTAAATAAACCGAGAGGAGAGTTTATGCTAATCCATGATGCCAAATCCTTTAACGGGATTCCACCACCAATACTTACTAGCCTGCTTTGAACCTGCGATGCCTGTGCTTGTATTGCAATCCAAAAGATAGCAATTGTTATAGCAATAATAATTGCATTGATGGCCTGTACAATACTAAGACTTGCTGAAACTCCAAATTTTTGGCAGGAAGTTTTATTGCGCTCTCTACTAATATAGCTGTGAATAGAACCCCAATTGCTGGAGAAAACCATAAAATTATGTGCGAAATTCTAAATTTCCAACTTATCGGAACATTAATGTACGGATTTATCTCATAATCTTTTGTCATTCTATTCAAGGCAAAATAATGATATAACGCCGATTATCGTTGAATAGTAATAAAATTCAATTTTGAATTGATATTTAAAGATGGATAATGGATAGGTGGAGAGTTAAGAACAAAGGTGCAATTTTATAAAAATATGATTCGATTGTGTTAAATATGTATGTCAGTTACATGAAAAAAAGAATACTCGGCAATTACCGTAATTTTAGGCCATTGTATTGAAAATTTTGTATAAAATATATTGTCTTACTTTAATTTATATAACTTGTTTACCCTTTTGTTTGGCAAAAACACAAAAATGTTTATTAATAAAAGTTTTGTCTGTTGTAAAATATATTACTTATGCAAAAGAGCTTTTTTTAATTTACTAGAACTATTAAAACTAATCCTAGAAAGAGAATGGTTCACTTTAACTCACTCTCTTTGCTGATATTGTCACTGTGTCACAGAACTTCTGCCAGGATAACATATCCAACATCTATCTGCTAGTAAGATCAAGCAATCAATCAATCCACATAATATCTCGAGTATGAAAGAAGAATAATTGTATGGTCAAAATTTAATGATCAATGCCAAAACAATTATTAAATGTATGGTAAAAATAAGAATAACTAACTATGTAACCATTACAACTGTTTCCGATGCCAAAACAATATACCGAAATGATACAGGTTTTTTTATATTGGAATTTCGTATCGTCGTTTTTAAAAAAAACCCCTCTATCTACAGTTAAAGCTTTACTAGAACAACAGCATACAAAATTCTAAGTACCAGAAATACTTCCTTTTATTGTAATTCCAGATTTCACTATTCTCCTCAAAAGATCAAAGAATGATAAAGTTAATATCAAAAACAAATAGCCTAGTTTGCATCAAAATTTTTAAAAAAAAAATTAGAGAACGACTTGACAATTAGGGAATGACTTAAAATCAAGAACCAATTTATTATCAGGAAACTTTTTAAAACAGAATATTTCGCAATATTTTGTTGTGAAGATATTTGAACTATAAATGATTTTGAGAAGCGCGTTTTCTTTGTTCAATAAGTATTTTATATTTTGTAATGTTTTCAATATTTTCTTAATGAATAAAATAAAAATTTTGAAAGTATTGAATTATCTTTATCTTAAATTATTCTAAACAAAGTATTTTACTGTTAAATTCTTCGAGGTGAATCAAATATATATTTATATCTATCTTTCGTTTCAGAAACTTATTACTTTTACGTTAATCTTAATTTAGATCTTTTCGTAATGATCACATGAGGAATCTCGAATGTATATCAGGCCTCACATTTCAGATTTACATATTTCTTTTTAATTTCGCGATTACGAAGCACAGACTAATTCGATGGAAAATAATACTACCTCAAGCAAGCTTTACTCAACTTCGACTCCTCACGAGAAAGTCGAGTCTGATCTTGTAGAGCAAAATATTCCTCAAAAGCCGTCGAAATTGCAGTCCTTAAGAATGGCCTTGGCGAAATCGCGCGACTCTTTAATTAAGGTTCAACCTCAACAGTGGGACGCAAATCGAGACAAGAATGAATCGAAAATTATGTTTGAAAAGGTTGTACGAAGGTAAAGTTTGACATTACTAATTGCAGACCAGTAAGCTTCTGTTTAATTAACTCGTAAATTTGCTTATGGTTTGTAGATATTATTATCAATTCACAATAGGCTGCGGTCGCAACGATTGCAAAATCAAAGTTTGTCGTTCCTGCAAAAGTACAAATTAGTTAATATATATATATATATATATATAATTTTATATTTTTTTATCAAATTATCGTTCCCATTTGTTGTGTTATTTATTTACATTAATTTTTTTTTTTTAAAAAAAAATATTATGATAGATTCTTCACGAATATCAACAGATACTGCTGCTATTTTATCTGTATATTTTGCATCTCGTTCTCGGCATTTTTTTTGTTCACATTGTCCGATTGATCCGGATTTCTCTCCCCCTCGATCAAATTTTACGTCAAATATAAATAACGTTATTGATGATGATCAGCGATTAGTTCATTCTCTTAAGCCCTTTATTTATTCGTTTTTTTCGACATCACCTTTTGTAAGCCTATTTTCATATAGCATTGGATGTGAAAGTTCAACAGAGAATATTGACAGTACGAAAATAAATCATTTATCACATAATGATACAGAGGATATAGATTTATCCACAATAATACGTACTAAACAAAATATCATTAACAATAATGTTACTCGAAAAGGTAATCACCGTAATATTTCATTAGGAAAGCAGTCAAGTTTTTCAATGCAAGGATCATTCACAAAAGGATCAAATACATTCGAAGAAGCAATAAATTTAGTAAATGATAACGTGATTAATAATAATAATAATAATGATGATAATAATAATAATAATAATAATAATAATTATAATGAAAATGTTATGAAAAAGTTTGAATCGAATTCTTTTCTAAATGGTTTATTTAAGGCATCAGGTTAAGAACCTAACATTTTATTATGTATATTTATATGTGATTCAAATTAACCTTTAATATTTATATTTGTCTATACTCGATTTTCTAAATACCATCTAGTCACATCAGCATCAAGACCAATTATATCGCAAAATGAAAATTATGTAAATTCATCTCAATCAATAAAGGATCCAATTTTATCACACTCAGGTTAATAATCAATTTTAAATTCTGAAAGTAAGGAAATTCAATCAATCACTAAAATTCGACCTTTAATTATTTAAGATCGTAAGGATAATAATAATACTTCATTATTAGATGGTAACGAGGAACAATTATTAAACCAATTAAGTTTAAAAATATTAACACTGCCACTTCTTCGTCAAGCTATTATAAGTACATATCATCAAAGTGATTCAATTGAATATAATGAATCAAAAATTATGAAACAAGGATATTTTATTTTTAAAGATTATATTGAAGGAAAAAGAGATAAATCAAAATCATTTGGGAAACAACGACAATCCGGTGTTATTCGTGGGAATCCCAAGTTTTTACTTAACACTATAAAAACGGTATTTTCATCTCGTGAGTCTTTGGATCAGAGTTTCATGGAAACCACAACACAATATTCACATCCATCAAAAATTGATTTCGGATCTTTAAGAACATCATATAAATTAATTCTAGATCTTCGCCCTCATGAATTATTTGCATCAACCTTATCAAATGCCCTTGAAGTTCTATTGGCTAGAATTGAAATGGATCCTCATATATTAGAAAGAGACGAAGGTTCATTAAGACAATTATTCATTATAATGGAATGTCCTTTATTAGCAATGTCTGGTGGAAACGTTAATCTTTCTGTGACCCTTGTTAAAAGATTAGTGAGAATATTAGGAAATATAGCTGATTTACGAGGAAAAGCTCAAAATAGATTAATTGGATTGTTTTCGAAGTAAGTTTGAATGATTATTATTATTATTATTATTAGATTTTAGTTTATTTGTTTATTTGTCAAAATTTTAATATATGTTTATTTATTATTTAAATTAATAGATATGATGTAGAAGGTTTTAGTAATATTATTCATATTCTTCATCGTTACCTTGATGATCATTATCACCCTCCTCCTGCTTTAGTCTCGCAAGAAGTGGTTGCAACGGTCAAAACGTTGGCTATGCTATGTATGATATATTATTTATTCTTTCTTTTTTTTCTCTCTTTCTCATGATCAATGTTTTTGTTTTAATATATCAAAATATGAAATGAATTTAATGAATTGAAATAAATAGATGAAGCAAATGAAAAAGCTGAACCAAGAACGATTGTTCCTTATACTTTGTTTTATAACATATGTATGTGTGAAAAATTGAATATCAAAGAAGAATATAAAAATTGGCGTAAATCGTTGGAGGAAAGGTATGATATTTATATAAGAGAAATTTTTGTTTAAGGATTTATTACAAAAATTTTTATTCAGAATATTTACTAATTGAGATGTTTTTTACAAAATAGTAGCTTGCGATTAACCCCTAACCGACCATTTTCGTTTTTGAATTATCCAATATTGTTTGATCCTGTCGTTAAATCTCATCTAAGCAGAATTGATGCTTTGTGTCAAATGGCACTTAATTATGAGGTAATTTGAATTATTCTCTAATTATTCTTTAATATTCTTTCACATTAATACAATTACGTTCCTTTCTATTTATTTATTTATTTATTTATACAAAGGATTCATGTGTGCATCATACATTTTATGTACAATCACAACGATATCTTACTGATAATAATCAGGTTTTTCGTGCACTTCAAGAAAGAACCATACCAGGACTTTATTTTGAGGTACGCCGTGAATATTTGGTAAAGGATGCGTTAGATCAATTGATTGTAAAACAACTTGATCTAAAAAAACCACTGAGGGTTAAATTCATTAGCGGAGAGGAAGAAGCTCAAGACCAAGGTGGTATTCAAAGAGAATTTTTCCAAGTTCTTTTGGAGAAACTTTTAGATCCTGATGCTGGTATGTTTTTGTACGATGAACAAACAAGATATCATTGGATTAATGGTGCATCATTGGAAAATGAACGAAAATTTGAACTTGTCGGCATCACTTTGGGGGTGGCATTATTCAATGGAATTTTGGTGGATATAAATTTACCGAGAATTTTGTATAAAAAGTTATTGAATTACTCTATTAACCTGGACGATATGAAAGAAGGATTTCCGGTAAAAAAAAAAAAATAATTATTTGACAAATGAAATCATTTTTTTTTTATAGAGTTTTAAAGTACATTTGTATATTTAACAATTTACATAGGATCTAAGTAGAGGCTTAGAAAAAATGCTTACCTGGGAGGATGGAGACGTTTATGACGTATTTCTTCGTCATTTTGAAATTTCATATGATGTGTACGGTGAGGATCGTGTATTCCCACTCATAGATGGGGGAAGTCATATAAAAGTGACAAACAAAAATCGTAAAGAGTATGTAGAAAATTATATCAATCATTTTACCAATAAGTATATAGAGAAACAATTTAATGCATTAAAAAGAGGATTTTTGAGGATGAGTGATGGAATAGTTCCAAAGGTTTGATTATTTTTTAAATAAGATGTTCGAAGATATATATTGAAAAGAGAGATAGATATTGAATCAAACGTATTTTTAATGCACATTTAGTTATGTCGGGCTGAAGAATTGGAGTTACTTATTTGTGGAAATAGAGTTCTCGACTTTAAAGAATTAGAAAAAACTGTAAGATATGAAGGTGGTTTTGATAGGAATCACCATACAATAAAGTATGTAAATTTATTTTATTTTTTATTTTTTTATTTTTTATTTTTTATTTTTTTTGAATATAAATTAAATTTTGACTGAATTCGATTTTCATCTTCAGGAATTTTTGGTCTGTAGTTCATAATTTTTCTCATCAACAAAAAAAGCAAATATTAGCATTTGTTACTGCTAGTGATCGTGTTCCAATTAGAGGATACAGCGATATGTCATTCACCATTCAAAAAAATGGACCCGATTCTGACAGGTAACATTTTATTACATCTCTTTAATCGTAATTCTTTAATTATTAATTAATTATTATTATTTAATTATTACACAGATTACCAACTGCTCAAACATGCTTCGGTGTTCTGTTACTTCCTGATTACAATACAAAAGCGAAACTCCGGGATCGACTTCTAGTTGCAATACAAAATGGAAGAGGTTTTGGTTTCGCGTAAAATTAGGAATAATTTAGATTTTTTTTTTAAATATTTATTATTACGCAAATCATTAATGTTCAATTTTAGAATTTTAAAAATATTTATTACATTTATAATTTAAGAATTCAAATTAATTGCATCATCATTATTTCGTAATTTATCAATTACAAATATTAACATGATTAAATAGTTTATTTGTTTCATTTTTCTTATTCAGGTTTATTATTTTTTTTAAAAAAATAAAAAAATAAAAAAATGATGATGATGATGATGATGATGATGATATATGTACAATTTCTCAAATATTGTTTGACTGATTGATCAAAAGGAAAATCTTATAAACTTTAAATAATTTTATCAATTATTTTTGAAAGCTAATTAAAAATAAATACATGAACTTTTAACTTTCCAAAAAATAATAATGTTATGATATTAATTTTTTTTTTATAAACCGTTGCAAATTTACAACCAATTTACAAAATAAATTTAAATAAATCTTTTGCCGCAATCGATTAATTATTTAATACAAATAATGCATTAAAATTTGTTATTATCTACTAATATAAAATTTAGACAGCTTAAAATATTTTTAAAAAGTCAAAGGAACAATACTTATGTTATCACGCACATACATAGTACAAAATCCCATCAGTCTTGTAAAAATAATAATTTCATTTAAATTTAATTGTCATCTTCATCATTATGTTCGAATAGATAATTTGCTGCAAGTTCTTCGTTTCGATCGCAGGCAATATATGCTTCAATGGCAAGGACCCGATCAAATCCGAGAGCTTCCAACTAAATAATAATAATAATAATAATAATAATAATAATAATATAAATATAAGTATAAATATAAATATAAATATAAATCTTAGTTAAAATATATAATTTTCAAAAATATAAATCAATATTTATTAATAATTTTTACCCTATCGACCGCTTCTTTTTCTTCTCGTGAAAAATTAGTATTAATAAAATTTGGAGGCAGGGGTAAGCCCCCTTCACTTGATTCATCCATTCCTTCTTGCAAGAGACGCATGAACATTGGTTGATTGGCATTAATGAGCTGGTAATGGTATAATAAAATTTTTATTATTAATACGTATAACTTTTTTTTTTTTTAATTATGAAATTGAAGTAATAATAATAATGATATAAAAAACAACCTGTAGTAATTGAGGATTAGATTGACCAATTTGTTGAAGCAATGGTTGTAATAAAGCCGGATTCTGTTGAACAATTTGTCTCAAGTGTTGAAATTGAGGTTGATTTCTTAAAAAATTCAATTCTTCGAGACCTCCTCCTCCTTGTTGTTGTTGTTGTTGTTGTTGCTGTTGTGCCAGAGCTGCGGCTTGAAAAAGATTCTGAGGTATAGCTGAATATGATGATGATAACGAATGTGATGATGAAAATGAATATGATGATGATAATGAATAAATGTTTAATAATAATATTAAAATTACATTAATTAATTATACAAAATGATTAATAAAAAATAAATGAAATAAATCAAAGAAAAATTTATAACCTGTTTGAGCGGGTGAACTGGTATTTGCAGGTGAAGATGCTGGTAAACTACCCGTTAGATCTGAGGATGCAGTAGTTTGTTCAACTTGTGTACTCTCGGGAAATCCCTGTAAAAAATAAATTCATTATATTAATTTCTCTATAATTTTTTATAAATGATGGATGGATGGATTATCATTAGATATCATATAAACAATGAGTTCAGTTGACTCTTATAGACTTACAGTCATTAAATATTCAACAGCTCTATCAGGATTATTGAAACTAGCGCGCATAGCTTTCACAACTTGATCACGATCATATCCCAATTCCATAATACTTTGAATAGCATTTTCATAATCAGCTCCAGTTACTGATAAATAATAATAATAATAATAATAATAATAATAATAATAATAATAATAATAATTAATAATAATTAATAATAATAATAATTAATAATAAAATCTTTATGAAATATAAAAAATATTAAAAATTCAAAGTATATAAGTATATAAACCTAAAATGCTAGCATTATCAAAAACATTTGTTATTGGTTGTGTCGTAGCTGTAGGATTACTAGTTGTTGATTCTTGACCAGATGTAGTAGTAGAAGTTATTGAAGGTGGTGCTTGTATAACAGCAGGTAATTGGGGAATTGTAGTTGGGGCACGTGGGGAATTTTGTAAAGGCGCAGTTGTTGTGGGAGGTGGGGTGGAGGTCGAAGTTGAAGCTGCATTTTGCTGTCTTGCTGGTGGCTATTTAAAAATATTTATATACACACATATATACATATATCCATTATTACCTCATTAAATATTTATTATTACTTATCCTGAAAATATGTCTTCATATCTTATTAATATCTTATTAATATCTTATTAATATCTTAATAATTACCTTCGAAACCATGACTACCAGGAAATCTTTCTCCGTAATATTATAATGAGATAAACATTTGTCATCAGCTAAAATTTTTCCTTTTAACAAAATTTCATACATAATTAAAGTTATTTCAAAATTTTTTAATTATCTTTAAAACCATAAGGACATCCTTTAAATTTTACCTGAAAAAATCAGTTTTTGAAGTGGAACTGCATATTTCTGAGTCTCTTCGATTTTTTCTTTTACCGTAAGGACCTTTTAAAAAGTCGCGATAAATGTTAAAAAAAAAGTTTTAACGAACACTGATCACAAATTGCAATTTTTAATACCGTATCCTCCGGTTCGACATCCAATTGAAATTGTTTTTGTTGCAAGGTTTTTATTGTGATCTTCATTTCGAAAAAGTCGGAATGTGAAATTACAAGAATATAACCTCTCAGAATAGATGTGTCAGCAATTACGGCTTTTTATAACTAGGGTATTGCGTGTTCTGTGTAACATCATCAAAAACAAATAAATTTTATATCAACCAAAAACAAAAAAAGAACTCTTTCACAAAAATCACAAATAATGAGAATTATAATTAAAGGAGGGATTTGGAAAAACACTGAAGGTAAAATTTTCGATAAGGGTTAAAGAATTCATTTTCTTTCTTGGCGGTTACATTAATTCGGATGTTTAATATATGATAATATTTAGACGAAATCTTAAAGGCTGCCGTCAGTAAATACGGCAAGAATCAATGGGCACGTATTTCGTCTTTGCTCGTTCGAAAATCTCCTAAACAATGTAAAGCGCGATGGTATGAATGGTTAGATCCTAGTATAAAAAAGGTAACAATTTCAAGGAATAACATAAATGATTATTTTTTGGATTCTTAATATTAATTGAACTTCTTATTTTAGACTGAATGGTCAAAAGAAGAAGATGAAAAATTACTTCATCTTGCAAAATTAATGCCTACTCAATGGAGAACTATTGCTCCAATTGTTGGTCGAACTCCTTCTCAATGTCTCGAAAGATATCAAAAGTTATTAGACGAGGCAGAAGCCAAAGAAGGAGCGGATTTGGATTTGACTGGACCTACAGGTGGTGACGCTGGTCCAAGTGCTGATGATGTGAGAAGACTTAGACCTGGAGAAATAGATCCTGACCCAGAAACCAAACCCGCAAGGCCAGACCCAGTGGATATGGATGAAGATGGTAATATTTTGATTTAATAATGAGAAAGTTATTTAAAGTATATTTTATATAAAATTTTTTATTAAAAAAAAAAAAATAAATAATAATAATTTCATGTTATTCAGAAAAGGAAATGTTATCAGAGGCTCGTGCTCGTTTGGCTAACACACAAGGCAAAAAGGCCAAACGTAAGGCTCGTGAAAAGCAACTAGAAGAAGCTCGACGATTGGCCTCATTACAAAAACGACGTGAACTGAAAGCAGCTGGGATTGAGTAAGATGAATTTTTATAATTATTTATATTCCTAAGGTGACATATTTTACATGTTAATTATTTTTTTTTTTTATAGATTAAAAGGAAAAAAGAAGAAAAAAGGAATGGATTACAATGCTGATATACCTTTTGAGAAAAAACCAGCTCTGGGATTCTATGATACTACAGAAGAAAAAAATAGACAAATAGAACCAGGTTTTACCAATGTTCATCTTCACAAACTCGAGGGTAAACGAAGATCTGAAATTAATGAAGAAAAGAGAAAGAAAAAACAAAAAACCGATTCAGAAGGTGGTGTCGGTTTTGTTCCTGCCAGAGCTTCTCAATTAAACAAATTAAAACAGGCGGAACAAATCAGCAAAAGAAGAAAACTACTTCTTCCAGCCCCACAAGTTGGAGAGAATGAACTCGAAGAGGTTTGTAGGTTTACAAATGAAATTATTGTAAATTATAAATTATTATATTTATTTATTTTAATTGAATAATCATATTATATTCGATAATCTTTAGATTGTAAAAATTGGATTTGCTGGAGAAAATACTAAAGCCGTAGTGGGCGAAACGGATAATGTTTCTTCGTTAAGCGATTATACACCATCCAGTACAGGTCTACCTTTAAGAACACCTAGATTGATTGGTGGATCTTTGCAAACTCCAAGAACACCTTTATCAGTCCGTTCATTGAGAACACCTACTACTGGTCTGTTTATAATAATATCCTTTTGTTTTTGTTTTATATTTTGGATTTTAAATTTAAAAATAAATCAACTCTTTTGATATATATATATATATAGTTGATTCAGCGACTATTAAACAGCTTCGAGCAGGATTGGCAAATCTTCCGGCTCCCAAAAATGATTTTGAAATTGTTTTACCCGAAGCTGAAGCTCAAGATGAACTTAGAGATAGTATGGAAGGGATAGAAGAAGATGCTAGTGATAGAGATAAAAAATTAAAAGAACAACAATTAATTGAAGGTAATTATTATAAAAAATAATGGATTATAAAAAAAATGAATAATAATAATAATTAATATAACATTAATTTTTTTTAATCAGAAAGAGCACGTCTTAATCGTAGATCACAAGTTGTTAAACGTGATCTTCCTCGACCAGTTCATGTAGACGAATTAACAATTGACGATTTAACTTATGAAGGGAGTGAAATCGAAAAGATTATTGATTTAGAAATGATCAAATTACTTAAACATGATGCAATTGTTTATCCAGTTCACGGAAGTAAATTAAATTCTCAAAATTTGGAATCAATTGAATCATTTGAAGAGTTTACTGATGAATTAATGAATCAAGTAAAATATATTATTTATATTTATTTTATTTATTTATAAATTTTTTAATATTACATTTATGAATATTTATAAAATCATTTAATGATATCATTATTTTATAGGCAAGGGAAGCGATAAATGCTGAGATTAAAATTACTGCTAATGAGTCTGATTTACCCGAGGATTGGCCCAAATTTGAAGATTTAACTGGAATTAAACAATGCCAGAATCAGCTCGAAGTAAATTTTTTTTTAAAAAAAAAAAAAAAATTCTAATAATATTATTAATACATGAAACTTTATTGAGCACTATATTTTCTCTACAGATTAACCGAAATCTAATGATAAAAGATGCATCCAGAGCAGCTAAATTAGAAAAGAAATTAAATATCACGTTGGGTGGTTATTTGGTATGTTATAAAGTAGTACGAGATTTGATTTGAATTTTATTTTTTTATTTTTTTATTTTTTTATCAATGTTATTTTTTTTTTCTATTTCATTATAATCAGAGTCGTTCGAGTGCTCTTGTGAAGAAAACGTTAGAATCCTTTGAAGAAGTTGAACAAGCAAAGATCGAACTGGATTCTTTTCAATCATTAAATTTATCCGAAAAAGTTGCGATTCCAAAACGTATTGAGGTATATATTATTTCATATATATTATTAATTAACTTCATATGAAAAATTATCAATTATTAATTAACAATCTTCTATCATATTTTGATCAGACTCTTCAAAACGAAGTTGATCACCTCGTTCGACGCGAACATGAACTTCAGGAACGATATGCAACCCTTTTGAACCAAAAACAAGAAATTCAGCTCCGAATCGAAGATTTATTTGCAAAAACAAACGGAAATGCTTAATTAATCGCAATTTTTGTAAATAGGCACCCAGAATAATTATCATTCCCAAGTATTAAAAATTTACGAACATTTGTGATTAAATCAAAAGAAATTATTTATTGAGAGCGTTACATTTACTAACTACAAAACAACAAAATTTTTTTTCATTTTTTTCTCTTTTTTTTAATGGTTTAATACTAATTTCGAAATCTATAATACAAAATAAAATTTTATAACTAAAATAATGCAAAACATTGTCCAAATATATAAAATTGTGAAAAAAAGTAAAAATGAATAGTCTAAATTATTTAAAAAGTTTGGTATATTTTAATCAGAAACCAAATCCCTAAGAAATAATAGTACCCCTTTTGCATCTAACTCTAAAGAAACACGTTCTTCGTAAGTTTTATCAGGGAAACCGAAACCTCCATCAAGCGAAGTCTTATGATGAATACCATTCCAAGTGGTGGTATCTGACATATTTGTTGTAAGTGATGTACCAACTGTAAATGTGTGATGATAATAAAATGCTGAAATAAGACGAATAAATAAAAGTGGACCCCATTTAAAATAAATTGGGCATACAGCTGTTCTAGTAGTTCCTTTAAAAGGTTGTCCCGGAGATAGATGACATGGTAATTGGGTACCATTGGGAATCCAATAACATATAAACCAAGCACCTAATTTTTCACTAAAGATATATGCCATGTCTCCATCAGGCATAGGTCCAATAGGTGGAGGTGCCATAGGATCGTGACATGGAGTTTTACAATTTGGACAAACCATTTGTGAAGAAGGCATACTAAGCCATGTCTCAATACATGATTTATGAAATATATGAGGACAATTGTTCATTATTACAAGATCCTTATTTTGACTAAATGCAAGTATTATTTCTGCGCAAATAGTACAACTCTCTTGAGATGAAATTGCTTCTTGAATTCGTTCTTGATTAGCCATTGTAAGGATCTGTTGTAAATTAACAGATCTATTCGTTTCAACTTGTTGCCTTTGAGCACAAATTCTTCCTTTAAAACTGTTTAAACTCTTCAATGTGTTAATTAATCCTTGATCCAGATTTGTTGAAGATCCATTCCGACACTTTGACATAACCAAATCTAAATATGATACCAAATTCGGATACAATCCTCCAGATGTGACAGGCCAGAATCGTTGATTTGCCATTGAAGTACCATAAAATTGTTCAAGTCCTTGACTTATATCAGCTTGAACTTCCCATTGATGCATCATTTGTTGAGCCTTGCGTATAATCCAATTAGATTCTAATTGCGCGGAAGGCTTAATTAATGAAGATATATGTTGCCTAAAAAATGTTGATGAATGGGGAGCTATATTGAATGCTGCTAAAGGACCAAAATTGTAGGTAGAATTACTGAATCCAATAGGTTGATTATTTCTAATACCTTGATTAACAAATGGAGAAACCACCTGAAAAGGTGGTAATATGAAAGGATTTATGGTATTTTGGTGAACAATTTTTTCATAAGTAATAGCTAATATTGGTAACACTTGTGAATTATCGTATACAACATATTCATCAGCGACAGAAACAAAATGTTTAACACTATGATAACCTCTTGGTGGATATTTTGTATGATGACTAACTGTTGGATTTAAAGAATTATCGTGTATTTTACCAAGTGCAGTTACACAAACCACCAAAGACCTTTGAGAAGGGTTATGTCGACTCGCGAAAAGATCACATTTTTCAAAACTCGGAGATAAGTAGATCGCGGGACCACAATTATCGTACGAATTTGAGAATCGACCATCCTAAATTATTATTGTTATTAAAGGATTAAAAGAATTAAGGAGAATTATTAATGTAAAATAATGAAATCTTCTATAATTAAAAATAAATTATTATCATAATAGCTTACTAAACCGTGATCTAATATCGAAGTTACACTATCTGGTTGAGTACCATGAAATAACACGGTATCCTTGAATAAAGTTTCAAAAAATGAATCTTGTAAATTTAAAGCTGTCCTTTCTTCTTGTTCTTTCGCTTGATGTAAATTCTTAAATGAGTGATATCTTAAAATCAAAAAAAAAACAAAAAGTTATATATCGATGACCTTTGAGAATGCGTAAAATTTCATGAAATTTCTACTGAACGACTACATACAATATTACCTTTCCCACATCATTCTATTCTGTAACACTGAAATCGATATTATTTTACATAAGGCTTGTTTCAACGGAGCATCAAAATACGCTGCAATGTCCGTATATAATGCATCTTTCTCCAATAAAGTAACATTTCTTGGTGGCGAAGTAAGAGGGACATTAAAATAAGGACGAACACGATCTAAAATAAGTTTTCCGTCTTCAAGTTGATATTCTCTCTTTCCACTCATGGTATAAAGAAATTTATTTATTTTATTGCTTTGAAATTTCTTAATGGATAAATCACTTATATAATCAAAAACACAACAAGTTATTTACCGAAAGCTTTTGTGGAAAATGTGATATGTAGTACAATGTCAGATAAATTCTATAGATACATTCTATTGTATTTTCAAAAATTACTTTTTTTTTTTTTTTTTTTCTTGAAAACGATTCAATTTTACTCTTGTTAATATGACTGAGACTGAGAGCAAGTTACCTTCCACGGAGACTTCGGAAACTGTTGAAGAGGTTAATTGACGCGTTTCCTAGTTGCTTTTTTTTTTTTAAAAAAAAAAAAGGAGCATAGACTTTATGGTTTGATTTCTTTAAAAACAGGAGGACGTGGCTCCCACTTCACCTGAAATTCATTTTGACCCTATCGTCAAATTAGATGAAATTGAAGTGAAGACCTTTGAAGAGGATGAAGACGTTCTATTCAAAATGTGAGCTTGATTAGGTTGGAACTATTGTGTTTAAAATTTCTCGATACTTTCACAACAGATATTCACTTGCTTTTAAATATTGGATTATAATGAAATGAAATGCAAGTTCGCTAAACTGTTGAATATTAAACAAACATTGGAAGATTAATTCAATGGGAAATTCTATAAAAAAATATTTTCACTATCTACGAGCTTCCAAACAATTTTTCAATATTGTAAAACAAAGTAATTCATTATTTTTCTGATGTTATTACTTTCATGTTTTTAGGCGTGCCAAATTATTTCGATTTGATAAACCTTTGAAAGAATGGAAAGAACGTGGCACTGGGGATGTGCGTTTTCTTCAACATAAAGAAACAAAAAAGATTCGTTTGGTAATGCGACGAGATAAAACTCATAAAGTCTGTGCGAATCATTACAGTAAGTTATTACAAAAAACGTTTGCATCATGTAATTTTAAAACAAGATATTCCATTTATCGATTGAATTGTTTAATCTTTATCTTCTTTATCTTTTAGTTACCGACGCAATGCAATTATCTCCTAATGTTGGATCCGATCGATCATGGGTATGGAACGTTTCTGCTGACATTTCTGATGGAGAAGCGAAACAAGAAACCTTAGCTATCCGATTTGCTAATACCGAAAGTAGGATCAACCTTCTTCATTTAATTATTTATAGATTTATTTATTGTTCAATAAATATTTACTATTTTTTATTTATTTTTTTATTTTTTTACCAAATAATAATGTTAGATGCTAATATTTTCAAAGAAAAGTTTTCTGAAATGCAAAAGTTAAACGCGGAAATATTTAAGAAGCCAGAAAATAGTTCTGGTCCAGAAGTCGAAGAAAAAAAGAAAGAGAAGGAAGAAAAAAAGGAGGAAGAAAAAAGCGAGAAGGATGAAACGAAAAGTGAAAAGTGAAAAGAATCAGAATATCAACATAAATAATCACTCTATTTTGCATTCTAATGAGAAATTAAATTTAATAGTTTTAAATTAGTTATTAATATCATGAATAATAAAGTTTATTTTTAATTTTGTTAATAAACTTTCTTTGATTGCAAATAAAATAATAAATAAAAATTTATTACAACACTCTTGCATTTATAACTAAGTCGAACTTATAAGACTTAAAAATTTGGGACTTAAATCAAAAAAATATTTTTTTCAAAGGCTTAAAACTTTGAGAACAGCCCAAAAAATCTGATAAAATTCACTTCACTTATATATCCTTTAAAAGTTATATAAATTCTATTTCAATTGGAATTCTATTATTATGATTTAAAAGAACAATTGACTCATTACACAATTTCTTTCTAAATTGTCATGTAATTCTGTTTGATTTTCTTTATCAGTAAAATAAATTAATAAAAATATTCAAGTTTTCATTTATTTTAGGAAGTGAGGCTGTTAACATTATTAATCAGTTTTCTAGTTATTATACTATTATCTAATGCTTTAATGAGGAATATAATCCCATGTTTATGCAGGTTTATACAGGTTTATACAGGGAAATATAGGTTTGTGCAGTTTGTGCAAGTCCAAATATTTTATATAAGTTAAATTATAAGTTATAAATTAATAATTAATTTAAATCAATACCAATGATTCAAATTTTTTCATACAGAAAATTTTTTCAAGAAAGGAATTTTGATTACTCAAGATTTTTCATCCTGTATTATATCCATAAAAAGGATTTTTAAGTTATCACTATTTTCAAAATGGTCCAAACATGTGTTATTTTACAGGTCAAATACAAAAGAATAGCTATACTGAAAAGGAATTCTGATTTTAGTTGATTTACAATAGAATAGTTGATTTTTAGCTAATCTATAATATAGAAATTACCATTTGGTGCAGTGATTCTTTTGTATTTTACTAGTGTCTAATTCATTTATGTTTGTTATTTGTTTAATTATATTTTGAAATTGAGTGATATAATTTTAAATAGTTTCAACTGTTAATATATATAATTAATAATTTACTGGTTAAAAAGTAGGAGTAATAGTAACTTTAAATATATCCCAATTAACAAGATTATATATACCATTGTTGATAATTTTCTTTTGTAACTATCAAGATAAGTAATATCTTTTATACCTGTTATAACATAATTGATTCTAATATCAATTCAAATAGTTTATCAGAAATTTTATAGAGATATTCTAGTATGTTATAAATATAAAATGTTAAAATAATACATTAAAAACATCAATTTTAGTACACTATAAATACAAAATGTTTAAATAATACACTAGAACATTACATTCTAGTATGTTTCAAATACCAAATATTTGAATAACATGTATTTAGTACACTATTAATATAAAATATTTAAATAATGTCTAAAATATTGTATTCTAGTATATTAGTGTTATACCAATATGTGAACAAGGGTCTGAAGGTTAACTAATATTCTTAAACAAAATTAACTTAAACTATTTAAATAATTCTCAGAATTTCTTGAGGATCGCTAAGATCAACTCAATTCAATTATTTAATAGTGAATTTGAAAAAATATTACAAGGTGAGTTCTTTATTGTGCGGGGTTTTAACACATCAAATCAGCTTGTCTGCTTAATAAGATATATATACTAAAGAGTATTTATACAAAATTAACTTAAATTTTATTAAGAATTATATAACAAATTAACAAATAAACAGTTGTGATACATGTTATAAATTTTTGAAACAAATATAGTTATATATAGTATTGATCATGTGAAAAATTAAATTTTATATGATTTTTACTTTCAAATTTATTTCATTTATAAGGTAACAATATTATATTACTAGTTATCATACTTTTATGTATAGGTGCTATCCAAATTCAAAATGCTAAATTCCAAATCCCAAATTTCAAATTACTAATTGTCAAAATTTCAAATTCCAAATTATGCCAAATCCCAAATTCCAAATTTCAAATACTATGAAAATTGAATTTTGGCAGCTGAAATATCAAAATAATTTGGGATTTGAATGATATATACTTTTATAAATTAATATAAAATGTTTAATCTCTTTTTAAGAATATTTTTGTAAATTTTAAATTCTTAATGTACTGTTCAGTTTAAAAAGATCTTGTGTAAAAATTTGTCCATTGCATATAGAAATTATACTATTTAAACTATTAAAATTCTCAAAAAAATTCTTCTAGAACAGTTTTTTACTAATTTTTTTTGATTTATTTATTTAAAAACTGCTATTTTTAGTTTCTCCTTTTATTACTTAATATACTCCTATAAGAAAATATTATTTTTTCAAAATAAATATTTAAAAAATATAATAAAAATATAGTATTTTGAGGTTTTTTGAGATTTTTTTTTTGTAAAAACTATAGATACTCTTTTTACACATAAAGTTTCTAATTTAAAGTTCAAAGATTTTAATTTTTTAGAATATAATGAAAGTGTACTTAATTTCGTTAGACAATTTGCATATAAAAATATTAGTTATAATAGTAATGATAATAAATTACTTGATGATTATGATAAATTAGAGATTATAAATTCTGATATAACTAATACAGAAATAAATGAAAAAATAAAAATAGTACAGATTCAAAATTCAAATTTTTCTCCATGTGTAATTCTTGATACTATTGATAAAAATATTCAAAAATATATTAGTATATATAATTCAAGAGAAATTTGACAATTGATCGAAATATGATAATTAAATCATGATGCAGTAATTCAAACAGGAAAAGAGTTAAACAAATTGGAAGTATGTTAGACACATTTCATGTTTGATTAAAATCACTTACATCAAAGTGGTACAAAGGTAATATAAATATTGGAACAAAGTATAATTCATAACCGTATATACAAATTTTGTAATAAAAATTATTATTTTTTTAGTAGAAAAAAATATTACAAAAAGTATTCTTGAAAATTAGCAGGCAAACAAATTCGTACTATATGTATTATACAAAAAGGATGTAATTTATTTCAAGAACTTAATTCAATAATAATTAAGGTAGAATCTAATGAAATATATGTTATATGTATCGTCATTGTTTTGAAAACAAGGTGAACATCTTTATGTTTGACCAGGAAAAAAAAAAGTAGCTTTTGATTATATTAAAGAAAATATCATCAGGAAATTTTTTCTAGTGAAAACCTTCGAAAGTTAACGTTAACGTAAGTATTTTGTTGTTTTTCGATATGTTATCCTTCAAAGGTTTTTGCTAACCTTCGAAGGTTATCGATTTTGATATTTTCACGTGGCAAAATTTTGCGAATATTATCATTTTCGTAGTAAAT